AAATCAGTAAAGCAAACCAAATATAATAAGAACAGATACATTATAACATTTGGAAATAAAGTTTGAAATACAAATCAGGGAGAAGAAAGGGATTTCTGAATGAGCTGAATTGAATTTATACATAATTCAGTGACTATCTGTTTGGGTCATGTGGTTTCCATGCAGCTATCTGCTTTATTTTCAAAACAACAAAGCAGGGGTCAGCAATAGAACACGTTAATATTAACTTATAGACTTTAGATATCACATGAATTAGAAAGACAGTACTACCATAATAGTGGAGGGATAATTAGGTAAAAGCAATTAATTAATCAGAATAAAAACTAAAACTCTATACAAGAAACATGATTAAATGCATAAATGTGAACTTTTTAATCATGTTTTTTGCATATAGTTCTACTAATGATTATCTTGAAATTAAATATATATATATAAATGCACGCGATTATTTAATTTAGTTTATTTTGTCTTATTATAATTACGCAAATTATATTAATAGGCTACCTGTTCTAGATATTTAATTTAGATCACGTACGTTTTAAACAATTTTAAAAGTAAATGTATAATTTTTAGTTAAACAATCTCGGCGGAGAGGGAGGAGAGCTGCTCTTCCTCTCTGCAGAGGAGCAGAGCTGCATTTCCCTCTTTGTAAAAGGGGAAAAGCAGAAAAAAACGCTCTCTAACTAAAACCCGCTTCTGTATTTTCCTCCACTAACGTATGTGTTGTGATTTATTATGTTTCCCACCTTTCTTTTTTATTTATGTGTATGTTGTGGTTTTCGCAGCTCCCTACTTCTCTCCTGCGGCTGGAGTAGCGTCCAGCGAGGGGCGGTCGATCCTTCGGCCGGGGAGCGCCTCTCTGCGCGCGGCAGCCGAGTTTCCCAGACGCCGCTGAGTCACGCGGGACTCAGTCCTGTTCACGCGGGATCACCCTCTGCACGCTGCCTGCAGCTGCTTCTAAAATGCACCGAATTTTACACACATATCATTATGCACATTTTTTATTAAATACATTTTTATTTTATTTATATTTTATTTATGTGTTTTTTAATACTTTATTAGAACTTTATTAGAACGATGACGTTTTCTGGAAAAAAAAAAAAAAAGCCGATTTTGTGCAAAACCTATTACAATGTTTTGGCTGAATTTTTTAATAGCAGGTTTTTTTTATATATATATATATATTTTTTTTATTATTATTATTTGTTGCATAATGCAACCGTTTTTTGCATTTACCTAATGATATTTAGTTACTTAACACCATTTTTCCATGTTAACAGGGTAGGACATAAACCAATTGCGTTAAAGTAACTAAATATGATTAAGTAAATGCCAAAGGCAGTTACATAATTTAATTTATAAAATAACCACATAGTTGTTTTTAAAGTGTGTTTCCCGTTCATTCTTTTACTCACAGTCCTGCCTTTTATATTTAGTTCCTACAGCTCTTTACATTTTATTTTGGAGCATCAGGACTATTGGGGCTGTTATGCAGTCATTCTTGTGTGTTTTTCTTAGAAATAACTCAGCATCCACATACATTTCTTGATTTATAAAAAAATATTTTATTATGTGCAGCATTTACCGGGGGCATTTTATTTACTTATTTATTTATTTTAGGGCTGATGGGCTGGTATATCTAGCTGCACAAAATTGAAACTTTTAGTCGTTCAAGTTAAAAAAAAAAAAAAAAAAGCCTCTCCTTTTGTTCAGAAATGAACCAGGATGGGTTATATTTATATTTATTATTGTATGAAATGGTGAGTGTGAGCCACAGGGGAGAATCACTACAGCGGGGAAATACAGACAAATACAAGCAGCCTGAGAATAAAGAGAGATGAGGACGAGTCCTGCTGTTTCTCCTCGCCACCATTATCCCACTGGAGAGAACCCTGTTGGGGGGGGGCTCTCACGCGCGCGCGCACGTGCATACTTGTGTCCTGGGAATCTCCTCAGCTGTTTCTCCCCCACATGCACTCGCATACACCCTTCCCCTCTCTGTCCCCCATTGCACTGACAGCCCTAAACACCTCCACCGGTCGGATCCGGTTCCACTCGGCCCCGGATCGGGGGCCCCTGGCAGCTGACTCCAAGTTCCTGGCCAGGATTAAACCTCCTGATGGCAGCCACTGTCAGATGATTTACACGGCATTACTGTACACACCAGCGACACGCTCGCCTCTGCTAATGGTTTATTACACTGATATAGAGCCTCCCTGCAGGTGGGTGAGGGTGTGTGCGTAATTAAACAGTTTAATAGAATAAAGAAATAAGTCAGCTTGGCTATTTACAGGTGATGAACTTGTTTCATGGTTTTTTGCATTGCAGGAGGGCATGAAAAGGTCCTATATTATTCTAATATTTTTTCTTTGAAGTAGTTCAGAGGTATAAGCAAACTTTAGGGACACAGGAGTGCATATATTCACATATATGCACTCCTTTGTTTTCATAAATGCTGTTAAAATCTATTCATTTTGATATAGTTTAATAGTTTTCAGTTGCTGCTCACTATTTAAGTTATTTCAATTACCTGCCACACTGGTTATCTTGTTTCTTTTAAATTATTCTAACTTTTCTCATTGTATTAAACGATCCTGTTATTTTTTTTTTACTCTGCAACTCAGGATGTTTGTTTCAATGTCTTAAATAAAGTCAAATTGTAATCAAAGTTCTAACAATAAAAAAAAAAAGAAGAAACAGTTCATAATTTACTTAGCTGGACGTTTGTTCCCAAATAACAATAGAAAAAAAACAAACTCTGCTTTGGTTATCACTTGCTACTTTCATTTAAAAATCTTATTGTAATTTAGTTTCCCTCTTTTTTTTATTTTGGGAAGGGTTAATAAACATACAGGTTAATTAGTCAGTCTGAACTGAAAATCTCACATTTGTAGACTTTACTCTAATTGCACACAAGCTTTTATACTTGGAACCTTTAAGAAGAGCTAAATAGTTTATTTTCTCCATTGTGTCATACGTTTTATACCATGAAGATTTCTATCAGGGTGCTGTGTAACCTGCTTAATATACATATATATATATATATACCTCTGAGCCACTTTTCCCTTAAAGGGATTAGTTAGGGTTTGACTTTCTGATCAGGCACCTGGTGGGGCAGAGCAAAGGGGTCCACTATCAGCTGTAAGAGCCCCCCACCCCTATGGTGAGGTCTCAGAAGATGTGGGAGGGGGTGATCGATGATGGCCACAGCAGCTCTGCTCTGTGTGTGTTTGTGAGGCAGCTCTGATGGAGGGAGGGAGGGGGATGCTGTTTAAACAACCCTGGCTTTGATTGACAGGGCCGGGGGAGAGGGGTGAGGTGGTGGGGGCTGAGCAAGTGCTTGGGTAAAGAGAAGAGAAAGGTAGAAGAGGAGGGGGTGTAGATTGTGAAGGGGTGGCTGGAAACTGAAAACTGCTGCTGAAGGGAGTAAAGCGGGCTTTTAATTACCAGGACAGAGGCAGATGTAGCAGCATGGTGCCCCCACCTCAACAACACACAAACAGATGTTTTTTCTTTTTGCAATTCTGTTTTTCCCCTCAAACAGCTGGAATTCATCAGTTTCAGTATGTGTGCATTTATTAGGACCAAAAGCACACCTTTCATTGCTAGACATTATTTTTTTTTTTTTATCAAGACACTTCCTGATTAGGATTTGTTTGATTTAAAAAAAATAAAATAAATCCTGTTGCTGTACCACTCTTAAATGTATTCACTCAACAGGCAGCTTTTTTCCCCCCTTCTAATTATCAAGCCATATAATTACACAGAGCAATAAATGGAATGAATTTGACTTATTTATTAAAAAATGCAATCAAATTGAGTTGATCAATATCTTTAAATTTATAATAAACTGAATTCTGAAAACAAATCAAGCTTTACATACGTTCTAAATTCACTGACAATAAACTCTTGACTGTTGCATCACAAAGCAATATTAAGTTACCCTGTAATTATTTATAAAAAAAAAAATTAGGTACTGAATAAAAAAGGAAAAAAATAGAAATCTTAGAAAATTTGTTAAACACAAAAAAATATGTCACCACCATTTTTTTTTATCCATTACTAAAAACCCCCTTTAATTTGCTAGTAGCAGAAACCCATCAGTTTTAACAGTAAAGGTGCTGGTCTTTTCAAACCATGTTGTGTTTTATTTCATTCTTCAACAAATCCTTAAAAAATAAAATAAAATTAAAAAAAATATCCCGGCCTGTGGTTGCACCTTGCTGTTTTTTTCCTAATCATAACATGTTATGTAAAAGAGATGACTTGCCGAATAATGGCAAACCAATTCTCTGTTTGTTTTATAATGAAATCACCTAATAAGACCAAAGGAAATGCAAATAACCTATGATATAATCTAGCTTTATACAGACTTCTATTTAGCATGCATGAGTGTAGTTTATAAGAAATTCCAAATACATTAGTTAGAAATTAATAAAACATAGTTTAAAAAAATATAACAAAAAATAAGCTTTAAGTCCATTAAACAGTAAAGACTCTAAAAGGAAAAGGCTTTTTGTTTTTCAATCCAGTTTTATTTATGCATTTTGAAACACAATACGATCCCATTCCTCACCCCCCGCCCCCTTAATTATCTTCTATTACAAAACTGATTGAAACACATTTATGTGAACAAAAAAAGAAAATAAAATACAGTGCCCCAAAAGTAAATAAAAAAACCCAAAAAAGTCAGGAAAGCGGTGCAAACCCTTAAAAATGTTAAAGTACCACAATGTCCCTGCACATATAAAAATAAATTAATACTTTTGTGTGTCCAGTCACTGTTCATTTTATTTTTCTCACACAGAAAAACTTGCGGCTTTCGTAATCACCTATGTACACCAAATGGCCAATGAGAAAGGTTTATGTGCACCTAACGAGGTATAGAGACTGTGCCACGACAAACACCTTCCTCCACCCTCCACCCCCACAAGCAGCTATATACACCCCCCCCCCCCCCCCCCCCCCCCCCCAACAGGGATATACACCCCCCCCCCCCCCCCCATTAACCGACTATTAAATAGCTTTTCAAACACATGACACAGAGCAGACGTCATTAGATTACAGCAAAATCAGACTGTGTTGGACGAAATAAACATAACTGTACACAGTAGTACAAAAGGATGTTAAATTGCAAAAAAAAAAAAGAATCAGTGAGCTTTCTTTAAAATATATCATTTCACGCACAATACATATTCCAGGGGGGAAAAATAATAAAACAAAACTCACAACAGTCATTTTCTTTTTATATTAAAGAACATAGCAGAATAAACTTTCCTGGTTTAAAAAAAAAAAGAGGTGGAAAGTGTTTTTCTTAATTCTGGTGTCTACAGCAGGGCAGTAATCACCAGGCGAGCTGTAAAAAAAAAAAAAAAAAAAAAATTTGCAAGGTACAAACCCCAGATCTAACCCCCCGCCCCCACTTATTTGGCCTCAGGCACTTGGGATCGGACCCTGATCGGCCAATCCTGACTTTTGTGTGTGTGTGTGTGGGGGGGGGTTAAAGCGGCCGCAGCGGTCGGCCTTTTTAGGTCCTGCTCGAAGAGGTAGGTACAAGCAGGGGGCTCAATCAGGAAGATTGGGCTTTTATTCTGTTTTCTGCCTCCAAGCTAGATGAATTACAGCATCCCTAAACTATCAGGCTGCCTTTAAGTCTTTTTTCTTTTTGATTCTCCCTCCCTGACTGAGCCCCCTATATCTGGCCCAGAGAAGAGACAGTCGACGGCAAGGCTTCTGCGGTGACGGTGCGACGCTTGGCTCGCTGACATTAATGGATCTGCAGCACACAAAGAGTGAAATAGACGTGGGGAGAAAGGCAGCAGCAGCAGACTAGTGGGTAATTTCTCTCTCTTTTTTTTTTTTTTCCACAACGCTGACCCAATATTCCCCTCGGGAACTGCTGCGAGACAGATGTCAAACATACATCTGCTACTGTTCAGTGCTATTCCAGGGAAGTGTATTTTTATACTCATTCATGTTTTGCTGCTTGTTCTCTTTTTTTTTATTTTTAGGTTCGCAGTTCTCTGTGCGCCAGCTCGGCTGTTGAGCAAACGGCTCTGGTTAGCGGAGGCCCCTGAGAGTGAAACATCAAGACGGAAACAAAAAGAAGCCAAGAAGACAGGAAACAAGAGTCAGAACTATGATAGAAACAATTACCTTGAAACTTTCTAGAAAGCTGACATTTCAAGGAGGAAAAGACATTTTTAATCTGATGCTACATACTAATTAAATAAAAAAAAAAAAAACTAAAAACACTAAGAACCAAGGAGCAGCTATAAAGTTAAAAAAAGAACAAAACTATAAGTTAGATTGAAATAAATAGCACACATATAAACAGAATTCAGGGTCAAGTTTTAAACCAGAAAAAAAAAGCTGCAGAACCGAGGTGAGCAGGCCCAGTCTGAGTGAGGAGCTCCACGAGACGAATAGCAATACTCTTTCAGAAACAGGTTTCTGTCCAGCTGCTGAACTCTGATCTTACGACTGCATATTTATTGAAGAGGAAACCTCTAAATCAAGAGTGTCATGTCTTCTCCTGGCCCGTGATGCCCACGGCTTTCTCCGCCGCACGCGGCTTTGTGTCGGTGTGCGCGTGCTGCAGCGCCAGGAAAGGGTTGGTGGCGATGGCGCCTTGGCTCTGACCCTGAGCGCCGGGAAGCAGGTTGGTGATGGGCAGCTGAGTGTTGGAGAGCGGCAGCGGGGGAATCTGAGACTGCAGCTGCTGGAGGTCCTGCTGCTGTTGCTGCTGCTGCATCAGCTGGAGGAGAAACGCCTGCTGTTGCTGGTCCTGAGGCAGAGTGAGGGGTGGCGGGACAATAACAAAAGTATAATGAGGAAAAGGTAATTAGGATGAAACTCAAGCCAACAAGAAAAGCTCTGATCTCAGTTTGGAAGGTGTGACGTACCGCGGAAGAATGCGAGGACAGCAGCTGCTGCAGCTGATGCTGCTGCTGCAGGAGGAGTCTCTGCTGCTCGGACAGAAGGCCAAGGCGAGCGGCGCTGAGGGGGACGAAATGAAGACAAGATCAGGGCCGTTTAAACACACGAGGAGAAACAGGAGGCTGCTGATGCAACATGCACACACAAAGCTAAGATGACATCTATCGATTTCCTTTGCTACAAATTAACTACAGGAGACATTCGTTTTCCCAATCCAAATGACTGCTCCTATACAGCTGCATCTCAACAAATGTAAATATCACTGAAAAGTATTACATATTTATTTAGGTGTATTTAGACCAGATATTCACTTTCTCTATGGATTCGAAAGCTGCTTGTTGTTCAAGGTTTATATCCAAGCATACTGATCTAAAATTAAGTGGAAGGAAAAAGTGAGGTGGTTAAAAAGCATGAAAATATCAGCCGAACTGAAGGGATTGTAAAGTAAATTTGATGCTGAGTTAATTTTCCAACTGGGCCTGGCTCCAGCCCACACTGCCAATAAAACCAGTAACCACTTTAACCACCATGGCGTTTGATTGGTTTGCAAACACATGAGGCAAGGCAAGTTTATTTGTATAGTAGAAATTCAGTAAATGGACAATGGAAAAGTGCTTTAAATGAATTAGTTAATAAAATAGAAAAATAATTATAACAGAATAAAAAAAATAAAAATAAAACAATTGGACCACAAAAAAGCGGAATAAAAGAAAGTAAAAAAAACATGACAGAAGCAGATAGAGAAGAAAATAAACTAGTTGGATCACAGCCTTAAACTGCTTCTCCATGTTTGGTTCTAGTTCTGGGTGGACAGAGTGGGCTACAACTAGACCTGAGTGGACTGGGAGGTTGATACACTCACAACAATCTGTTTTGTACTGAGGTGCTGATCCATTCAGTGATTTATAGACTAACAGAAGAATTTTAAAGTCTATTATCTGAGCTACAGGTAACCAGTGGAAGGACTTCAGAACCAGTCTGATGTGTTCTAGTTTCTTAGTTCCAGTGAGAACACAGTCAGCAGCATTTTGGATCAGCTGCAGATGGACCTCTTAGAAAAACCTATGAAGACACTGTTGCAGTCATCGATTCTACTAAAGATGAATGCATTCATTCGTTTTTCTTAGATCCTGCTTGGACATTAGTCCGTTAATCCTGGAGAGGCTCTTCAGGTGATAAAATACAGACTTAGTAACTGCTTTTATGTGCCTCAGGTCTGAATCCATGACATCTAGATTTCAACCACAATCAGTGGGACCCCATGAAGCAGCAATGCAGATAACCTCAGTGATGCAATATTTCAGGACTGGTATTGTGCAGCAGATGGTCACATGTTTCAGAGGGAAAGATTTTAAATGGGCTGTAAACCAAAACCATGAAATTGACCATTCTATGTGTTTTTAATCTATAGGAGAATTGTGCTGCAGACCTCTGCTCACCTGTTCTTACTACCTGCTGAGCTGCTTCAATCCAACATGAAGGCAAAAGGAAAGAAAGAAAGGAAATTTTCAATTTCTTATTCATTAACTCTTCCACAAGATACCAAAAGTTTCAACTTCCTGTCTGGTGGAAAATGTCCGGCATGAGAAGCTGCTTTTATATACCTATTAACGGGGAGCGTGACGGCCGCCGCCCCTGTAGTGTGAGGGCTGCCGGGGCCCGCCGTCGGTTGGATCACTCCGTTCAACGCGCCGACGATCCCGCCGATGCCCAATGTGTTTCCCGCACCCAGAGCGCCCATCAGCCCCGCGACCCCGCCCAGCCCGGCCGTCGTGGCGACGCCGTTGAGCGCTGGCTGAGGCGGGCTCTGGGAGACGGAGGGGGAGGCGGAGAGCGAGGAGGTGGAGCCGCTGCTGCTGTGACCTCCGCATGATGCAGCGTCCTGAGGTTCAGACAAGAAAACAAATGGCGTTCATGGTCCTTTACCTTCAAAATGGGTTTTATCACACTAACGCTCATGAAGTTACCACGCCCCGAAGCATTGTTGTGATCGCTGCAGAACTCTGTTCTCACCTGAGCTGCCAAAGGTAGAGATGAGTCTGTGGCTCCGAGGTGGGACCCCTTCACATCAGCTACAGAGAAAAGCACAGAATTATTGACTGCTGCTATAAAGTATTCACACCCCTTTGAACTTCTCCACATTTCATTACATCATCTGTCAACATAAAAGTTCTCAGCTGGATTTCGGTCTTTACTTGGACTAGGCCCTTCTAACGCATGATTTGGGTGCTTAACTTTATTGTCTTGGTGTAAAATGTACCTCCTCCTCTCTCATCTCATGTTGTTTCACCTCTAACAGGTTTTCTTTCTGCATTTGGCTCCATTCATCAACACCTTACAGTCCCTGTTGCAGAAAAGCATCCCCACAGTACAATGCTGCCACCACCATGTCTCGCCGTAGGCTTGTTGCTTGAAGACTGAAGTGCAGGTTGTTTTTTTTCTACCACATTGTTTAGCTTGGAAACCATAAAGCTTCATGTCCCCTACGTGGTTTGTGATGAACCATAGAGATGTTAGCTTTCAACAGTGTCTCTTGTCTCAAACATAAAAAAATAAATGATTTTTTTTTTTTAATGGATGGTAAATCTGAGATGTTGACAGACTCTCCCAGCTAAGATCTGAAATGTGTTACAACTGTGATTTTATTTTGGGGTTTCAGAATAAAGGGGTCAGAACAGTCTTCATATTTTAAATAAAAACATGCACAGCATTCCTTCTACTTCACAGTTATGCTTTGTGTTGGATTTTTACTAAACTTGCTTATACACAGTTTCATTTCCAAATTTCAGACGTTTTATGATGTAAATTTCCATTTTTTTTAGCCTCAACGGATACTAGATGGATGGACATTAGAAAACAGTTGGATGGATAAGATAGGACAGGGAATTATATCTGAATATCTGAAAGTACTACTATCTTCTAGTGATTAACTGGTGAAGGCTTTTTTAAGGCAGATGCAGATACCGTTTATTTTCAGTCTAAGCCGATATGTGCTGATTATATTATGTTCCATATTTAAGGAGTTCTTGATTTTTTACACCACTTATATGATAAAAATGACACAATCATAACAAAGTCTCAATTTAAACACCCAAAAATATGAGGAAAACAAACAAAACATTAACAATAGATAGAAAATGGAGGAATCTGCATTTCACATGAAGATCCCATCAAGCATCGGCCAAATCCTGTTGACTGGCTGATCTATCAGTCTAATATTCATCTAATATTCTTACCTATTCCTATATTATTGTATTTAAAAACAAAGTTTCATTATTTTCAGAACAACTTTGACACAAAAATGTACCAAAGTTTCTCTATGAAAGAATAAAAACTTCTGAACAACACTAAATCTAAACAGATGAAAAAGTACAAACTCAGCGAGGTCACTTTCGTTTCTTTTAAGAACTTATGTCCTCTACATCTTCGACAAATCATTGAGTGTTTGTATTTACCAAAGGAAGTGGTCGTCTGGGTAAAAGGCACTGATAGCTGCGCGCTGAGAAGCTGTAGCCTGTCCTTCTTCATGGTCAGGGTTTTAATCTGCTCCTCCAGCCTCCTGTTCTCCTCCTGCAGCTGATGGAGCGACTTCAACATGGCCACCACTGATAGGAGGAGGAGAAGGAGGGGAAAACATCCTGTTATGGCCTCTGTTACGCTCAAGTGAATCATAAAAACTAAATACAGGTGTTTCCATATACAGGTGGATTGATATTTAAACTCAGGGGGGTTAAGAGGCTGAAATGAATCAAAATGATCTGCTAAAAGATGGCTTTTCCATAGAGTCGACTATGCTGTGCTCTCCTTTCACATAATTTATCCTCAAGGGATGTGAAGCGAAACTCAATGATGGTGAACAATGGTGAACAAACCCAACGATGAGAGAAGGATTGCATCCGCTCACCGTCGCCTTGTGCTCCCTGCTGCAGCAGGAAGTTCTGCCCCTCGTTCCACTGCCTCTCTAGGAGCTGCTCGATGCTGGTGGCCACCGGGGGCAGCGTCTCCCCGCCGCCTCCCCCGGTCCCTAGCAACCCCAGCCCTGGCCCCGGCAACGACCCCGAGGAGTCATAACGGATCTGCAGGCCGCCAATGGGAGAACTGAAGGGGGGGGGACAGAAAAAGGAGAGATGGAGAGGTCAATAGGGAGATTAACGACCCAACATAAATGTCAGACAAACATAGACACTGCTGGCTATAAAACTACATCAATTTGTTGTTACAGTGGCCTCTAATGAAAAGGGGCCAGGCTTTCCGTCTGAGAGAGCGAGAGTCAGAGAGAGATGGGGGGGAAGAGAGGAAGGACGAAGAACCGTGTCTTGATGCGATAAATCCTGGCTGTTGAGACAATCTGTTGAGTGTGAAAGAGGGGAAACGAGAGACAGCGGGAGAGGAGAGGAGACGAGGATTTGGCGAAAGGGTGGTGGCAAGAATTTAACACTTTGCTTTGTAAAAGTTCATGTCAGGACTGGGTGCAGAGGAGGAAAAACTAAAGCTAGATGTATGTTTTAAAAAACAAAACCACTGCTCACTGTCAAGTAAGTTCAGGTTCGGTCATTACAGTTTACACAGCACTGACCTACAGGGCAGCCGTGAGTTACCAACCTTATCAGGAGCATCAGCCATCCCACAGAGTGGAAGAAACAACCAGAAATGCATCTCTATGATCAATATCCCCATCCTGAAGGATCCATAAAAGTATTCCCAAAAGCAAAAGATACAGTAAAATCCTCCGACTAGCTGTCCACGGGTGAGTAAAACCAGGAAAAAAAAACCCCAAAGTGAACCTGAAGGACGGTTACCTCCTTTAAAACTAGTTATCGTTGGCTAGGAGAGCCAGGATTGCCTGCAGGGCTAAAAGCGAAAGAGGGAATGTGTGTAAGAGCGGACTGAGGGAAGGGGAGACGAGGGGCCAGCGGAGGGAGAAAAAGCAAGAAGAAAAAGAGTGAGGAGGGGGGGAGTGAAGTATGAGGGGCAGTGAGGAATGTAAATGGTGAAGGAGGGAGGATGTGTGTGCTCTCACCGCGGGGTGGTCTTAGGAGAAGCTCGTATGGAGAAGCCCTGAGATCCGCTGCTGCTGCCGCCGCCGTCTCCCACCTCCTGATCTGCACACACACACACACACACACACACACACGATGAAAATCAATGGGATATCTAAGAAAACAGACATGAATTTGGAGGCAGTTTGTTCGCCAACAAAATGTTAAAACATCCACCAAAGCCTGGTAAAAACGGGTGTTTTCTAACCTCCTGCACCCTGCATTTAAATACAAACTGTCTCTACATGTTTCCATCAGACAAAGAAAACAAGAAAATGGATGAGTTAATTGCTTGAATTGTACAAATGTTACTTTGGTTTAACCAAAACTCCAAATTAAGCAGCAGGCCTAACAAACAGAACTGTGCAGTACTTGTAATAGCAGAGATGAGGCCTGGTTTCTGCCTTTTAATGACAGTCACCACTTACAAGAGTTTGCAATGCACCGCAGCCCCTCCCTCACCTGTTGCTGCACATAAACATCCATAAAAGAGCAGAACATAACAGGTTGCAACAGTAACAATCCATATGTGTGGTTGTTTTCTGTTTTGAGTTAAATGATTTCAATAATTTGGTCTATTTGATATATGTTTTCCATTTTTGTGTAAATTTCCTGAGACAGTTTGGAGGGGCTGCAGTGGCACTAAAAAAACTAAACGCCATTTAGTTTTACTTTTCCTTCTTGAATGATTCAATCTAACATTTCTGTAAAACGTTTATTAATATGCTTATTATTCAGTGGTTCCCAAACTGGCTTTTAAATAATTTATGGCAGAGTTTAGCTGCACCATGGTGCACCTCTTTAGCTACACTAAGAATATCTAGAATATTGTTCCCCAAAATATCCAGCTCCTCTAACCCCTGATACAACTATTAAAACTTTAATAAATGCATCCAGATTGGTTCTTTTATGATTCAGGATTGGGATTGGGGCCCAGAATATTTTCTGATCTGACCGTTTCCTCTCCAGTCGAGATTACGGGCACTACAATCCCAGAGACTCTGCAAGCTACGACCATCTCCCTTTCACTGCATCTCCAAAACACGAGCCTTCATTCACGCTGCATCCCCCCCGCCCTCTCTCTCTCTCTCTCTGAGAGACTCTCCATCTCTCCTCCCTCTGGGCCCCTGGCCAGACGCTTCTTTTCATTTTCCTCAGTCACAGTAATGAATCACACATGCGCACACACTTTTGCATTTATACACTCGCGCAAACTCCCCTCTACTTAAGACAGTCAAATCCTAGCTTTTTTTTTCCTTTCCTCCCCCCACCAGGTCACCACTCCAGTCGCTGGGCTCCTCTTTTTAAAGTCCCTTTTCCGTCGTAACCCTTTCCGTCCTGCCAGCTCCCGCCAGACGGGTGCCAAAGTAAACACCCCCCACACACATATACACACACCTAGTGTGTATATGTGTGTGTATATATACACACACACCTAGTGTGACCCTTGGAAGCCGATAAAATGGAAGACTAAAAATGCTTCCAGTGACTGGGCAGAGCTATGACTGATTATGACAGAATGAGATTATTTTAGAAGCTTGTTGTTGCCAGAGCGATAAGGTTCACACATCAATCAAGAAACTGTAGGACAAAACAGGAACTGTTTAATAATCATTGTCATTTTAAAGCAAATAAGAATCACATCTCATTTATTTATAATAAGTAAAGTAATTACTGTTTTACACACACTTTAAGGCATTTTAAAGAACTTAATTTTCCTTGAATACAGAGGAATTTCTTACATAAAACCAGCTTATATGTGTCCCTACGTAAAACCTGCACACCCCCTAACAAGAAACACACACACCTCAACACACACACACACTGACGGAAAGAAAGAAAGCCCTGTAGCTCCCTGACATTCAGCCTGATTAGTGAGCTGACCTGCAGGTCAGAGTGGATCTGGCTCTGATGACTGGCAGCAGGAACCACTTCCTCCTCTTCTCCCTTTATCCCCTCTTCCTCTCTTTTTCTCTTGTTTCTCTGCTCTCTGGCCAACCAGATGTCTTGCATCAGGAAGCAGCTCCTCCTGATTGCTTAAACCACTTCTAACTCCCTCTTTGAGCTCATCTGTATTTCGGACAGACTGCGACATGTTCCGACTTTTTACCAAGTAGCAGTCGTGGCGCAGGGATCCTCTACTCCCCTTCATGTCAAAATAAACAAATTTTAAAAAAGCAGCAAGCGATGTGTTGATGCTCCACCCACTCCAAAATAGAGGTAGGAGGAGCTTAAGACTATCACTGACCCCTGACCTCACAGTGGGATCAAGAGGGCGTGACCTATCCATTATCTTCTTCTCTTTCACACACTCCCACATTAGGTATCACAGTACCTGCTGGCGAGGCCTCAGACTGAGCGATGAGAGCTGCCATGCTGGAGTTGGGGTTCAGCCTGTTGCCAAACATGTGTGGGGGGGCCAGGTTGAACACGGGGCCCGGCAGAGCCTGAGAAATGAGACAAAAAAAGCAGAGGGGCCACATCAGTTGTTGTTTCTCTCAAGTATCTTTACAATTTATCGTATTCACATGAAAAGATAGCTGGGTGTTTATGGTTGAGTGTGTGAGTCGATGAACAATCTTTCAACAAGATGTTTGAGATAAAAACTGATAAAAAGCATTAGTGAGAAGATCTTTTGAACAATAAAAATAAATAATAACCAAAAACTGCGGAGGGATTATATGTTTAATATTAATTAAAACAGATGCAAAGATGACAATAAAATAAATTCCAGAGAGAAAAAAATTATGTTTTTCGTGATAAAACACAAGATGTGTTTTAGTTTCTTTTAAGGTAACGACCTAAAATGAATAATAATAATTCTTGAATAAATAATATTAAAAAAGACACATATTATTTTGTAATTAGACTTCATGTGGGGACTATCTGAATCAATTATGTCCAAACTATAAAAAGAAAAAAGACAAAAAGTGAAGCTTATCATTCTGCTCCATATATACGCAGCGCTGGGAGCGTCCTCGCACCCCGACACTACGCTGACATGCTGACAAAGTGTTTCTGATGCATAGAGTTTAATCCAATTAAGGCATTTCCCAACTAAGGGGCTGTGGTTTGACGGGCCAGGGTGGGGTGGGTGGGAGTGAGAGGGTAGAGCATGAGGAGGGGAATCTGCTCCACTTAAAGAACAAAATGGCCGACTGTTAAATGCAGTGAAAATCACTGTGACCAAACCGAAACATGTGACGATGCAGAAAAGTGATTAAAATAAGAGAGCGCTCAGGAAGTCTGCAGCTTCCTTAAGACTCAACCGGACCATGAAGATCAGCTATGATCTAAAAACTAACAGTATGAAGATAAATATTTACTTTAGCTGGTTTTAAAGACGTGTTTACGGCATATTATGTGTTAAAAAAAAAAAAAAAAAAACAAGCAAACCCATAGAAAGCTGCACGTGAGAATAGCAGAAAATGATTAATAATGTTTAGGAAAGCCTTCAAGCTATGAATATATGTTTATTTTTTTAAATTAGACTATTAATAATTCATGAATTGGGATTTTTAAGATGGGAAAGACCTAAAAATATTGATTCTGCTTTAATTTAATTCTTATTTCAGATTCTATTAAGCAACCTGTTCCGCGCTCCTCCTAACGCCTCCTCCTCCATCCCTTGTTTCCAGAAGCCTGCCCCCTTTCACATCAACATTCATTTTTCATTTGCATTCATTTTTCATTAAACTGCTTTCTCTTACTCCTGTCTTAGGCAAATAGCCAATAGCAGAAGGCCAAGAGTCTGTCAGCGGACTGCAAACAGCGAACCGTCTCAGTCTTTCTCTCTCACACACACACACACACACAGACGGGGGAAGCCTGGTTTGTTGGCTTCAGTCTGCAGTTGTGTCAGTTCTGCAAACTCAGCTCAAAGTCGGCATGCTTCCCACAAACAAAGGCTTAGGAAGAGGAGATGAATAAAATCCTCTCAATTACACAAAGGTTTACACCTTTCTCCTGTCCCCAGGAACATGCATTAAGCTGAGATATAAAGGCCAGGCAGCTGAACACCCCCCCTCCACCTCTACCATACAGTCACCCCTCCCTCGCTCAATCTACCTCTCCATTCCTACTGCTGAGATTGTCAGATGTCATTACATCTCAGGACAACGGTGGAGGAAGACAGTCGGAAGAGAGAAAGCGTAAAGTGCTTGCGGGGGTGGGATGAGGTTGGACAAAGACGGTCAGGTTCGGACATTGAAAAATGTAAATCCGCTATTATCAGGTCTAGAATCAATGTTCTCAATATCGTCACTGTGTTTGTGTAAAAAGGCTGAAAATATTCAAAACCTGTTGATTCATGCAGAGGTAATTTATTGAACTTTATTAACGATTTCTCCTGCTGCATAAACAGACCACAATTTAGCAGTGACAATAATTCAGGTACACATGAACAGACAGTCTGTCTTTCTTCTGGATCATATTACTTCTTTCAATCAGATCCAGTGCACAGTGAATATGTGCAGGTCAAGCTTAAAAATTAATTATTAAACTGACTTTTAGATGAGTTCATGTTCATTATTATCAACCATGACAGTAACATCAATGAAATAAATGCAGATTTACCAACGTGAAGAGTTGAACTATGGCTTCAAATTTAACAATCTATCAGTAGCTGTGCAGCCATTGTTGAGATTTTTTTATGCATTTAGCATGTTTAGAGTCTACCCCTTATTAGGAGACACAATAGAAGAGTTCCAGTCTGCATTCTGAACACAATGCCACCAGCATTCAGACTAAGATTTACAAACAGAAAAGATAAGCTAGAACCTTAAAATAGCTTTTGTTAGTAGCTCAGATTGCTGTATGGATGCTTTAATTGTTAAGGCTTTCGGGAAGCTGCACTATAGACAGATGCCCTTTCAGAAGAAAAAAAGAATATAAAGCAAGGAGCGTTATTTTTTGTCAAAAGGGGTTTATTGTGAAGGTTCCAATGAAGGAGTGCCTCAGGTTATCAGCACTGTCAAAACTTTTGCCAAAAAGGATGCTAATTACGTTTCTTCACACATAAAACATTAATAAGTGTATATAGGAGCTGTTAAACCCTTGGTTAAATGGATGAAATTATCAATCAGGCTCTTATTGTGAAGGTTTGAAGGAAACTGTCTCAGTTTATCTGCTTCAGCTACTAGTGATTTTGCTAAAGGATTTAACTGTTAAGTATTATGTCAGTAGCCATGAATCAGATGGCAAAGGTTGCTCCATACCTTTTTTTTTTTTTTTTAAGATTTTTAAACAGGTGAAACTCAATGCTGGTTGAAAAGTAACATTAAAATAAAAGCCTTTTCTCTTAAATGCATAAAGTATACATTTTCTGTATAGTTTTGGATAAATCGCTGCTTTAAGTCAGTTTGTTCAACAAATGGTGAGTTTAAAGTTTGTGTCCATCAATTGGGGATTTTTTCCATTAGCAAATTAGTTGACAATTGTTTAAAAATTCAAAAAAACAAATTACTTAATTAGATTTAATGTTTTGTAAATATTATAACAATAGATCTAGTTCAAAACATTGCCTTTAAACCGCTATTAAAAAGGAGAGCATCCAATGCAAAATTTTCTCTTTCAGCATTGGCGACTACAAGCAGAGGATTGATAGATTTAATTCTTTGAGAATTTTTTTAAATGTCCCTTTAAATAACATGTCTTAAAAAAACTAAGAAAAAACCCTTTATTACACAGTTGACGTTCTTTTTTGGTTAAGCTTGATGACAAACTGCGTTTTTAATTAAAACCATTTCATTAAAACTATTGTACTGGTATTTCTATTCTTAAACAGCAGGTCTATAATAAATTGTACATCTGTAAATGTTTTAAATGCTTCGTAATTACGGCATTAAAGGATAAGGACAGGCTCTTATTAGGAAACGTGCTACGACATTTAAAGCAGATCAGATTTACACCACATCCAGGAGACGAGATTTAAAGTTAACTAAAAAGCTAATAAGTAACACGCACTCTGAAAGGAAGCTTTTTCTGCAATTTGGTGTTTAACTGTGGCTTTCATGTTTAAGGTTTCTACTTTCATGTTTTCTAAAAGAACTCCAAACATTTCATCGGTCTTCAAAAGCGTGGCCTTGATTTTTAGACCCGCTTTAAGGGATGATGCCTGGAGAATGAACTCAGATGCGTCTTCTGAACCGTTCTCCAAAGCATAATAGGACATGCATTCAGCCTTGGCAGCTTCCTCCAGTGATTCTTTCTGCTGGAACCCCGAGTGTATTCAAACTGATGGGTTTGAGACAATAATGAGTATTTCTTTCTGTTTACACCAAAAAATAAAAAATTATTCTGTGCGTTTTAATTAGCTGAAATCCATCACAACCTTGTTCACTGAGGTTAATAGAACCGAATCAGTCGAGAGAATACACACTTTCTAATGACATGTTTGGAGAACAAGAAGAAAGCTCTATTTTTTTGTGCTTTCAATGCATGAAAACGACCCTCCACAGGTGCACCCGGGCTTCGGCAATACATCATCCGACAATAAAAAGTGACTCCACACAAGGTCGGAATGCACACGTTTTATTTATTTATTTTGCTTTACAGATAATTAACGTGCAGAAGTTTAATAATGGTGCTGAGAGATTTGCCACAGAAAGCATTTAATTGCACGCCATTTGTTCCTCGTGCGGTTCATCTCCACTTGAGCTCGGAGCTGGGAGAGATGTGGGTGAATTGAGCGATGCAGGGGTTTGTTGAATAAAAGCAGAGCGCGCGTGAAAGAAAAGGGAGAAATGGAGTGCGTCGCTGTGGGTTTGATGCTTTTTCATGCGTGCCAGAGTGAGGTGGGTGTGTGTGAGTGAGAGTTTTCAGCTAACGCTGCGTGTTGGGACTCACGTGTGTGGAGGCTGTGCTGTTGAGCGGTGCCGTGGCTGTGAATGGAGAGGGAGGCGCTAGGGAAGGTGTGGGCTGCTGTTGCTGTGACAACTCGGCGCTCGCCCCGCCCATGGCGACGGCTGCTGTCCCCGACGATGACCCGTCGGCTGCAGAGAAGACACCTGTGGAGAGATAAAACACTGACAGCGTCATCCTAATCCTTAGTCCCACTTAAATCATAAAGCGGCGATACGTTTAAGTAGATGATGGAACAGTTAACACATCATGTCACAAAATGTATTACAATATAATCAAATGTGCAAGCATCTGATGTTGGCTAGGTATTCTTAGAAGAATAAAGATTTTATTACGATTGGAAAAATTTATGTTCTTTAAAGTCAAAAGTCTACAAAAAGGAGAAAATGCTTGGGGTTTAAAATAAACCTAATGAAGTTTGCTCAAAGCACAATTTACAAAAAAAAACTAGCTGGGAATAGAAAATATAAACAAATAATAAATATAATAGTAACGTAAGAAAATTACTGCTGGGATGCATGACCTGGGTGCTTTAAAAAAATAAAATAGAGAAACTAAAATAAAAAAATTATCATGTTAATAAAAATAGGTAGAGATTAACTGAAGGCTTAATTAGGAAAATTTAATGTAATTAAATCAAATAAAAGTAACTAAAGAATAAATAAAAAAACTTTCAAAATATATTTATTATGTTTTTTATATTTTATTCTGAAATTAAATCAAATTACAGGTATCAAATTCATCTAAATTTATGTTGTTATCAAAATTCACCCGTCCCCCGACACATGCCCCTGTCCAACATCTCTCCTTCTTCCCCTCGCCCACTAACCACGGATAAGCCCTGCCCCTGCCTCCCTTTGACCCCAGCAGAGGAGGGAGCAGCGGGGGTGGGGGGGTAAAGGGGCCCCTCAGCCCCACAAAAGCCTGAATGGCTTAGGGCAGCACACATTCACTGGGGGAACAAGAGATCTTTGTGCCAGGAGGGGAGGGGTCGGAGGGGTGGAGGGAGCGATAGATAGGAACACTACATGGGCCGACATACTATTTATAACGCTTTGCAATATGCAGCAGAAAAATTGATCCCCGAAGCAGGGGTGGGCAAGGATCCGGGGGCGGGGCAGGGGTTGGGGGGGGTGCTAATGCAAGGATTTCAGCAGCTGGATTAAAGAGCGGACCAACAATTTATCAGAGTTTAGCTAATGCAGCGCATGAAATCAGGTTGTTGAAAGAAAATGGTGAGAAAACCAAAGAACAGATCAGAGTTATTTTGTAAAACACAACAGATAAAATTTTTTTTTGAAAAAATAGGTTAACGCTCTAATTTTAGATTTTCATGAAATTTTTAGCAATATTCCATAATTAACTTTTTTTTTTATTAAAACCTTAATTTATTCTAAAATATTTAAAGATCCCCTTACTGCTAATGGAAATATTACAAGACAGACATTAAATGCGTAAACTATCCCACTTAAATAAAACAGATTTTAACAATTAACAGCTTTTCCTTCAAAATTAGATAATAATAAAAAATAGCACAATTAAAATAGAATTAAACCAGACTCTATTGTGTGGAAACTGAAAAGATAAAAACTTTAAATCGACCTAAATTAATTCTTTTTAGGAGCAGAATCTCACTGGTCTCAATTACACAGCAATTCCTCGCTTTTGCTGTTTCTTCCAAAAAAACGTAATCATATCTAATATCTTCAGTTTAAATTGGAAATCTCTAATAAACAGTAAAAAAAAAGATAGAACTGCACCAGACATCTACAAAATAAATCATTATTTTTAAAACTTGGGTGTAAATAGTGAGTATTATCTGAAGCTGCAAACCAGAGCCTTTCAGCTTGTTTTAGCGGGACAGAGCTGATGTAATCGCGAGACACACCAAGTGTAACCACAACAACACGGAGACATTTGTTTTCCTGAGTTCTCCACCAACAAACAAAAACAAAAACTAATTTAAAGCCAGAAGTAGGGCGGCTGTTTGATCAGAGAGAGGAATAAAATGCAGGGAGGTTTGCTTCAGTCTAATAAAAACATGTGAGTCACTAAAACACCAAGAGAAATAAAGAGAGCTGCAAGAATCATGGGCAGAAAGAAAGGAAAGAAGAGAAACAAAGTTAAATAAACAAAACCGGATTTGTTTTTCTAGTATGCATCGTTTTAAATTATAGGGGAAGGAAAAAATACACACTATATTGGAAGAGTTTCAACTAGCTTGGTTTTGTTTATATATTCCAGCATATAGGTGTGTGTGTGTGTGTTTTATTATCCACAAAAAAATCCTATTTTTAGACATGACTCATAATGTTAAAATGAAAATAAAAAAGCTAAATTTTTATTTAAATGTGAAATTAAAAAACAAATCAGTACATCTGTATTTAAGATGGTTCGTTTGGTTTTCAGTTTGAAACCTTCCAGAATATTTTGCTGCTTTTCACCACTTCCCCTCACGTGTGCGTAGCAGAGACAAAGCTGCTGATTATCAACCTAGGAATTCCCTGGGATTAACTCCTACAATTAAACATGTGATCATTTAAGTGAGTTAATAAATACACGCCTATAAGCGCCTTCATTTGGTCTGCCTGGTTTCTTCCCCCTTTATGCATTTACACTCCAGCTGCCCTGAATAAATCCAGGATCTTTCCTCCCACACACACACACACACACACACCCACAGTGACCTGACTGTGCTCGTCCGGCTCGTCCGTCCCAGTGGTGACCCCGCAGCCATCAAACATTAACCTAGCCAAAATCTCACCCCTGCTTTTCCCCATCCACCAACACGTTTCTATCAGACCTACTATCTATCCATCAGCAGCAGACAGGAGAGTGAGAGGGAGGGGGGTTAAATGCCAGGATTCTTCCCATTACTGCCCTGCATTAACCCTTAGCTAAATATTTACAGTAAGCGGGACAACTTCTCCTTCTCTCGCTCTCACACCAGTATATATGAAGCACAGACATGCGGAACCGCCGCCTGATCCGACCTCGCCGTTTGTGGTCAGAAATGGCAGCGCTGCTTCAGGGAAAAGCTTGAACTGAGAACCTGAGACGGGACGCTGAGTCGCAAATATGCCGAACCCCCCGCAGCAGAAAATAAACCTAGATAGTGGCTCACCATCTCACGATCTTATCTTCTGGTGATTATTCACATTAGTTGGGGTGTAAAATTAATAGAAGTTAAGAGAGGGATGTGTAGCGACAAGTCTGCATGGGTTTGGGATTGCTCCTAAAAAATAATAAAAAAAAAAAAAAGACACACTTTGCATTGTATAAAAAAAGAGAAAAAAAGAGCTTATATCAAATTGGTAAGATGGGAAAAAAACTAACCTGTTGATCTACTCAATTTAAATATTAAAATGAAAAAACAGCATAAAACAGCTAAAGAGAATTTCATCAAATGCTTCAGAAGTAATTTAGAACGTAAATCATTTTTCTGCCAAATTAACAACTACATTTAAACTCTAAAACCACATTTTATATTATTTGCTAATCTGCTGTTAATTTAAACACCTCTCACATAAATAAGAATTTATATATATTTTTTTTATTTAAGTACTTGAGATTAATAAATACAGTAATGTTATTATTTACAATAAAACAAAAATAAAAGTTTAAAAAAACTTTTTTAAATCAGTAATAAATGTACAGTTTTATTGCTCTAAGCTGTTATATTCCCCCCTTTATTGGACTTAATAGATAATATATAATTTAGATAATATATAACTTATGGTGTTTGTTAATGTAGCAGAATGAGTCGGAAGAAAATGCTGTGAAAATAGTAAACAATAATAAATAATTAAATCTAATGCCAATAATGTTTTTTTTTTCGTTAAAATAAATAACATATAATGTGTAAACACATACTTCCAAGAAACTAAAATGTGTTTGTTTTTTTCTGCAGCTTTTCCATGCAGGTTAAAGGTAAACCGTGGATTAGGCAAACTAAGCCCACTGGAGTGTGTCTGTGTGTCGTCTTCCATCAGAGCGCGGGCTCCGCCGCTGAGACAGCAGTCTATAAAACAGCCGGACCGGTCTCTGACTGCATTAACAAACACAGCTACTTAATGTTTCATGTTTTCTTTAGGTTGTGGGATATTTTATTGTGCGACTGGGACAACAGCCAGTAAACGTTGCCAGATTGCTCACAATCATTGATTTCTCTCACCCTACAGTCTCTTTGGGGTGTTGGATTTCTATATTAATAAATAAGTCACAGCAGCGCACTCCTAAGTTAAGGAAACTCTTTTAATAATTTAGCATTTAAGATGAACTTAAATGGAGGGAGGAATTTAAATGCTGAATGCTTTAACAATAGGGCGGAAATAAAACGGCATGGGAAGAATCTTGGTCCTGGTCAGACTAATCACCCCATCTGCAGTAATACACGGTATATAAACAGTCCGTAAATTTACATTTGTCAGCTTTGTAAAGCTTTAACTGATTAGCGACACTTTGAGCGACAAGCAGAAGACAGGTACGAGACAGACATCTGAAAGCTTGAGGTAGGAAACAAAAAGGTGATGATTCTGGGAGAAAGGGGAGGTGTGGGAAGTGAGGAGCAGACTGAGCCACTTCCATCAGCCCAGGGAAACTCCAAAGCATAAAGGCAGTTGCCAAGCAACTGAACATGATGGGGAAAAAAAAAAAAAAAGAAATATACAGAGCCTTTTCCACGTGTGTGAGCAAGATGCTCAATCTACCACACACGCATGCACAGGGACACACACATGCAAATATTGAGGCAATTACAAAAGTGAATCAAATCCTTGCCATTAGTGATTGGTAATTTAATACTGTGCTGAGGCCGTCCTCAAACCCCCTACTGAATTATTTATGCACATTCAGAGACTCGGGGATGTGTGGAACAGAAACTGACACAAACGGGCCATATTGGACTTTACTTATAATTTGGTTTGATTGTATCAGAGCACCAATGAGGAAAAGGAGTCCAAACAAGAAGAGATGCACAGATCAGCAGGTCAGAATGGGAACTTGCACATTTTTCTTGATTTGCAGGTCAGAAACTAAAAATGATCTTTTTGTTCTATAAACTTCATGCTTCTAAAATAACTAGTAACAAGACAAAGGGTCCAAATGAGGTCAAGTCCTGCATGAAAACAGGAAGTTTGTTCCAGCCAGGAGAAGCTAGAACGGTGTCTTTACAAACAAGTCTTAACTGTGCTGTTAGGACGACACAATCCCTCCATCAGTCTGAACTTTGCAAACATCTCCAACTCTGTGTTTGTGTTTGTTTCTCACCTGAGCTGCTGGTTGCGGAGCTGCTACTGCTTTGCAAACTCCCGTTCCTGAGAAGTGCCGGGGATTTCTGAATGCCGACGCCCAGGACCCCGATCGCCCTGTCTCCTCCTATACCCGCTCCCAAACCGCTGCTGGAAACTAAGCCTGGTCGGCCTGAGAGAGTCGAGGGCGTAGCCGAGGCGGTGGAGGCTGGGGAAGATGAGGAGGAGGAGGTGATGCTGGCTGCAGAGGAGGAGGAGGTGGGGAGGGTTAGGGATGGAGCTGCCTCCGAGGGCTTTGTGTCTGTGGTGAAACAAGGTCCGAATCGGTTTCGCCAGTTGCCCTTCTTTTTCTTCTTCACGCCGTCCTCCCCTCCTGCTGCTGCTATCGCGCCGCCCATCCCCAGCCCGCTGCTGGAGGCCTGGGATCGTTTGTAGCCGGTCGTTCCGACGAGGCTGGTGGTTTCGCTGGCGGTGTGACTGTGGGAGTTCTCGTACAGCTTTCCACCAACCGCTACAGAGACAAGTGAGAAATCATTCTTCAGGTTTTCTCTCACGTTCTTGTCTTTCCTAAACTTTTTACTTTACAATCACAACCTCAAATGCGTTTGTTGGGATTTTATGTAATAGATAACACAGAACAGTGCATAACTGCGAAGTGGATGGAAAAAAAATCAGAAAATTTACAAAACTCTGAGAGATTAACTTTTTAAAAACTTACAAGTTTAAGTTATACTTTATCTTGAGTGGAAATATGATGAAGCATCACCACTCTTCCTAGAGTCAGATTTCTGACTACTCCATCCATTGTGAATAACATCTCTTAATGAAAACAAGCTTGTTTAAAACAAATATGCACCATTGAGAGACACACTTTATTCTTTTTTTTTTTTTTAGAATAAAGGCTTATTTGTTAAATATTATGTTCCATCTGCTGAGTCATTTGGAGGTTGAGTGAAAATACAGCCAACTCTAATTTAATTGAACCTATTCTTACACACTTTATTGATTGATTTTAAGTTTCACAACTTATAAAATGTATTTTGTACTTATTTTGCTGTGGAATTACTGTATGCTATATGTTCATTTTTATCTTATTCTTTGGAATACCAGAATTTGCATAAACACTCAATATTTTGTTGAATTTTACATCATTTCCTAAAATATTAAGTCAGTTTTTATGATCAGGGTTACTACGTAAATCAGTTACTTAGAGTTTGAATATTTTTTTTAATATTAAATACTTTGTTAAAACTTGAATATTTTTTAAAATGTACTTTTTGCTTTATTAAGTAGTGCTACTCTTACCTAAGCTACCCACCTTTGCCGTTTTATTCTGATACCCTACAATAAAAAAAAAAAATAATACAAAAAAAAACAATGCAAGCCTTACTGGCTTTTATGGAAGAGGGCCAACATGAAAACTCGCCATTAAAAGAGACCAGAAAACAGCAGTAATCGACTTATAACAGTATAAACATGGAAAACTGTGTTCAAAACATTTTGAACATTTTCTGGAAAACTAGCCGAGCGCATGTCTGAACACAGCACAGTGCTGTGGGGATACTTTGTTCAGAAAGTGTTGGTCAGAGGAGGGATGGAGCGAGCTAAATAATTACAAAGTAACCTGATGTTAAGAGCCTGGATGAGAGGTTTTATCTAGAGGAGAACTATTCAAATATAGCGTATTGTCATCTTAGAGTGGAGCAGATTGCTGCCCACAGACGTTCTACATCCAGTCTGACTGAGGTAAGCTAATTCAAGAAAATTAGTGGCCATTTCAGTTTAAATCATGCACCACTATGTGATGGTTTATTACATTAAATCCCAAAGGAAAACACTGAAGTGTGTTGCCCAACGGAGCACACGTTTCTTAAATACCTGCAGAGGTTGTGGTCGCAGACATCAGAGAACCAAAGAGAGTTGTGGTTCCCTCTGATGCCCCGCCCTCAGAGCTCGGCTTGACCAGACAGCTGCTGAAAGACGGAGGGGAGGAAAAAGTGGTTCCACCGCCAGGACGCAGCGTTGAGTCTGTGAAGCTGAGGAAGTCTGAGGAGGATGGGGCGGCGGGAGCCTTGCTGGCACTCGTCAGCAGCAGGCCTGGGAGACAGGTGGAACAATTGGGGCATTTACAAACGGAGGAAACAAGCGAGGAGGAAGTGAGGACAGAGAGGAGAGGAAGGATAGTGAGCAGTACTGGAGAAGAGAAAAATGGATCTAAGAAAACAGACACTGCAGCTGCAGAGGTTTCCATTTTAATCTTTTGGGAGGAAAGAGATAACTTCAATAATAAATTAGAATCCTTCCTGATTACAAAGTCCTCGCATTTATCAGAGGAAGGAAGCGTCTCTGAAGGACGCAGATGCAGAGAAACTGAGCTAAACCACAAAACACACCTTCAGCTGACAGGAGCTCAGAGGTTTAAACAGAAGAAAACCAAAGACCAGTGTGATCGCTGCCTCCTCCCATGTCTCGATTTCCCTGCTTGTCTTACGTGTCTGTGTTTGTGTTTTCCAGACAGGGCCCCAGATTACAGGAGCCAGTCGAGACGAAGCGGTGGAAGCGGTGATTACGCAGCCACACACACAAAGCTCTGGTGCCTGAGCGAAATCCACTCAATGACACAGCGCTTCCACAAAACACACACATCAACCTGCTTATTTAGGTCTTACTGATGCTGCTGTGCTGCAGCTGCAGATTTCATGTTTCAATTTTTTTTTTTGTTCAACAGCAGATGATTTTTCACTGTGTTTCCATTTTCCTAACTGCAGGGAGAATTCCCAGCTGTGGGGAAAAATTTACATACGGAAGCATTCGCTGCTATTAATTCACCTTGATGGAAAGGCCCCGTGGAAGCGGAGGCAGATGTAGAGGAGGTAGCCATGGTGACCACCGCTGACGGTAACGGTTTCCCAGACGAAGTGAGAGATTTGCGGCCGCCCCTCTGTCCGACGGCGTGAGGGCCGCCGCTGTTCTTCTTGTTCTTGCCTTCGGACGCCGCCTTGGTCGCATCTGCCACCAGGCCGTCCTTGGACGGCCCCCCCGAGTGAGCCGACGACACTTCCTGGAAGTTGGCGTTGGTAAATCGCCCACTACTGTCGTCTAAACGCTTCTGAGAGGCCGCGGGCAGAGAGGGAACACCTCCTCCTGTGGTGCCGCTGTTGTAGGTCTGAGCAAGGAAGGAAGATAAGGAGGACCCAAAAAAGAAATAAAAAACAAACTACTTAGTGAATATCCAAAAACAGACGAATCACAAGAAACAAGTGAAGGAGAGAACAGTGCTTCATTATGTAAGGAAATTTGAAATAAACATATGATTTTAATAACAAAAACAATACTAATGTCTTTTTTTAACTGTAGTTCATATAGACACTAGATGACACTACATTCATTATATAATTTCAACAAGAATTTATTGATAAAAAAAAAAATAAAAGGTAGCATCTGGTTAATGTCTGCTGCTTTGGCCTGATCAAATATTATATGTATTATACAAAACTACTATATGTTTCATACAAAAAGGTGTCTCTGAATAAAATACAAGTCTGAATGGGAGGAACTTATTTTAGATCTTCACAACCTGCTTATTATATAGAGTGATACTACAGTAACTATAACTATTCTAAATATATAGTCCTATAAAACATATAGTATTTGTTTCTTTTAAGTTCCTACTTGAGTACTTGTTGCATTTCGTCAAAGTGTTACATCTTTGGAGGTTTATTTTTTACCGGTATGTATATGTGCAAAATCGCATGGATATACTACATTTATTTTTCGTTTTTCTTTAATATGATTATTAATAAACATTTATATTTTGTCTCAAATATTGTTGTATTTTGATTTGTAAAAAATTGGAAATAAGAAATGCAAAAAAAATGTATACTTTCAAACAAAAAAACATATATAGTAGATTTTGTCATTAGCGAAGGGGAGACTTTCTTAACAAAAATAAAGACTGTAGAATGAATAGTGGCCAATTAAATAGAGAGATAATTCATAGATGGATGGAGAAAAACATGGATGACAGGATGGAAGAGCAGTGAAAAATGCTCACCTTGTCAGGGACCATGATGTTAGGAAGAACAAGCGATGGAGACATGTCCATGGAGCCTTTCTTGTGTCTAGGTTTATGTCTGTCTCGCTCCTTGTGCTTCTGAACATGTTGAGTAAAGAAACCAAAGGAAAAGAACAACAGATTAGTGAAGCTGCTTAACGTGAGGGAAAAGGATTAATGTTCAACATACGGAGCATTAGAAGAAAATCTTGTTTGTAAACATTTTAAGGAAGGAAAAAAAGGAAAAGTTTGTCACATCTGAGTAATTAGAATACAGATGTAGAAGGCGGGTGTGTGCATGACAGAGGGAGGAAGGCGCTGCTGCATTTTAATGACTCAATCTGAGATTAAAGTCCAAACAGCCACAGAAACAAAAGAGAGCGATGGAGGAGAGATAAAAAGGGGTGTTTAACATGCTGCCATATAGAGAAGAGACCATCTAAGTGCCTTGTGCTGAACCGTTCAGAGTCTCCCCGTTTCGCCCAATCAGATCGTTCCTCTCAGACCATCAAAGCTCAATTTACACCCTCGCCGGCACAGGCAGACACCGTCACCCTCCTCTCGCAGCAGAGGTGGTGACTGGGTGCCAGCACATTTACACCTCACAAGCGCTCCTCACACTACATGATTTCTGCAGACTGGCGTACGCAGGCAAGGTGCACAAACTCTTTAAACGCACACTGGCACGTGTGCAGTCATGCATGGTTCAGAGAATATGGTGAAAATGTACAAAACATCCCGATAAAACAGCGAGGGACTCGGCGTGTTTGTGATGTTCCGACACATATGTAACAGCAGAAAGCGCCCCTCCCCACGGGGGTTTGTTAAAGGCTCAGTGCAGGAAGGATTGTGACAGTTTAGCCAGACTTCCTCCATGAATGGCAGTTAACAGACATCCCCAACCAAACCAAGAGATAGCAGCTTCACTCAGTTCACCGACTTCCGATACGGTGCAAGATTTAAGAGTCACAAAAATTGTTTTTAAAGAATATGTCTTTAATATGCCAAACTTAATTCAACATAACTCAGCGGCTTTTAAAAATTTATTAAATTTGAACATTTAAGGTAATTTGAAGAAAAAAGTTATCAAACACAAATGTCTCTGACATTAAGGCTGATTAGTTTAGTTTATTATTTTATATAACTTGCAAGGCTTGAGAGCTGGATGATACATTTATACATATAAAATATATATATATATATATATATATATATATATATATATATATATATATATATATATTCTTTTTGTCTTTAACAATATTGCCTTTTAGCCTTTGCAAAAAAAGGTCTTTTTGTACAATTTTCTTATGTTTTAAAGCCAGAGTTGATAAACCTCCGTCTCTTCCAGAACAAACTGCATGCTTGTCAAAAACCCATAGGCTGCTCATACTACTCTGTCTGCAATAGCAAAGCAGTAAACAAAAAGCACAGTGAAGGTTTTTTTTGTTTTGTTTTTTACACAAAGACAGAAGATGAATCCAAATGTTGTGCTGCACCAAAAACCTCCGAGGAGAACAAAGCGGGAAGCTGAAATCTTCAGGATTCCCTTGTTGTTTTTCATTAACATTCCAGAGGTAGGTGTTGATGGACAGAGGCTGAGTGGAGAGAGTCGGGTAACACATCCACTCAGAGGACCAACAGCGCCGGTCGTGGGAAACATAACACACATGCTAACACTGTAGCTCCGCCACAGCCTTATCAATCATGGCGATTGATTAAACAGAGAAGCCTTTTAGCAGTGTACGCTCCGTGGTCATTCGGACAGGTCGTTTGACCCTCTGAATCCGAGGAGAATGAATTTAAAAAAGAAACCGCCTCTTTATGCTCCTTTAAAAGCAATCGTTTAATTTAAGAGTTAAACATAAGTGGCGGTGCTGGTTTCAGACATGAGCTTCTGACACAGAAACAGGGCTTCTGGTTAAATCATCATCAGAGCCCTAATTATAAATGTTCATTTTCATTAGAGGAGCGCCAATCAGACTGTTCCTGGACGACAGTAAAACATATGAAAAGACTATATGGAAATAAGAAAAAGAAACTTTTTTTGATAAATGATATCATAATTCAGCCGATAATACATTAATTAATAATAGTTGTGTTTTTATCTCAACAAAGTGCATAAAAAGTATGAGCAACTGGTTGCAATAAAGGGATAAACATGTTATAATTTAGTTAGTATTAAAAAATGCAACAAGGGGGTCGAAAAAAACAAAAATAGTACTTTGGTTCACTAAAGAGAGCTGATTCAGAATGAAGGGAAGCCTTAGACATTTCTATCTTATATCATTTGCACAAAAGTTGACTCTATTGTTAAAAGGGGTAGGCATTTATTTATCTTTATCGTGATACATTTCTAGTCACGATAACAATTTTTATTTATTATCTAAAAGACTTAAATTAGAATGATGAGTGATGATTAAAAAAATTAACTGCAAATGTATTCTTTTCATTGGGGCAATTTGAAGGATTAAATACGGTTACTAGGGTTTGTTTTTTTAATATAAATCACACAACTTTATGTAACTGATGTACCGAAAAAGTCTTTTTAAAATGTGTATATTTTTTCAAAATAACTATTTGTGATTTTAGGGTTGTGATTGCTGTGCCACGCAGCCTCAGCAACCTAAGAATTCAAAGAATTAATAAGGTGAGTATTTATCGCAATGAGATTTTATGGCCATATCCCCCAGCCTTAATTCCTAATTCAAGTAAAAATCAGAAGTGAAGAATAATAAGAATAATTCTCTTTAAACAGAGACTTTAATGTAATATTTAAAATATTAAATCAGTGTTTTATTAAAGCTTTTATATTAAAAATCCCTTTATCAAGAATTGAAATTTAGCCATCTCCCTTTTTTTTTTTTTATATTTTTCTGATATAGGGCTAAGTTTTTATACATTTTAAAGAAGAAAAGAGCAGTTTCAAGCCTAACTAAGTGTAGGCTCTGATAGGTTCATTTTTAAACATGGTTCTGGATCCAGTTAACAGCTGGTTAAATTAGCTAGGGTTCAGAAAAGTGAACCAGAGTTGAAGCCAAACTGAAGTTTGGTCAAATCTGTACGGAAAGCTGTTAGGGCCAATAAAGAACCACGCTTCAGAGATTTAAACTAAAAGTCAACTTAGCGCACTTTAAGCTAATGTGGTAGATAGGTTAATTTGGTGCAGTGGACAGCCTTCCACTAATTTAGAAAAGCAAAATAAAATTTTGCTAGAGGCCATATTGGTCCTTGTTTGCTTTGAATCCAAGTTCAATTAAATCCTAAATCTAGTTGGTTTAGACCAAAGCTGCTTTTCTAAGATGCAGCTTTTATTAAAGAATGCTAAAACAATTAAACCCTAATATATCATTCATTATATCAGAAAACATCGGTCTACTAAGGCTAGAAGGGTAAAGTTTTATCTAGTTCAGATTTGAAATATTTCCCAGTTCGAATCGATGGCCTCAGGAGGACGAGAGGGCACTGGAGGTGGAGGTCAGACAGAGAAGGAGAAGCAAGGGAAGACGAGTAGAAAGGGAGGAACGGGAAGCAAAGGAGAAAATAATCCGCCCTGGCCTGGCAGGAATTCCCCTGTGCCGTTTCCTGCAGGATTTCTGACCAGCCATTGTGTGCGTGCACGTATGGATGTGTGTGTTTCCTGCAGGCCTTTCGGAGCAGCCAGTGTGGGGGATCTCTAAGCCCCTGCTGTTGGTTGACTGCAGGCTCTAACACGAGGTGGGCATACATCTGAGCCTCCACCGTGCATTACAAATGCATGTGCAGACAGACAGACAAACACGCACACACAAGGACCCAAATCTAATCCAAATGATCCCTGACCCAAGGAAGGGGATAGAGAGTATGCGTCTATGAGTCTGAGCAATGGAGGAGGGGGATACGCTAATGCTTCCAAACTGCTCAGGGAGAATTACTACACCTAAAAACAAGAGCCGGGAGACGGACAGAATCAACTTTGATTTGCACACATTCATCCTGAAGCTGCTATGGTCAGACAAAATCACCAAGGAGTACAAAACCTACATATTCCATTTTCAGTTGATCTCAAATATTATCCCATGTTTTTCTATCAAAGCAGTGAATAAAATGTGAAAGATTAGTTCGGTTTACTTCCCTCTAGTCTGAACAGGTCCAAATACTGCAAGTATCACAGCATAAAAATGAATAAGGAGTAATGCCTCATCTTGCTTTCTGTTGGTCTAAGAAGTTTGAAATAACTGAAAAATATTTAGATAGAAAAAAAATTTAGAAAGATTTTGTCAAGAGTAAAGTGATGCAATGCCACATTTTACCTTAAATCTCCTCCTTTAAAAATCTAAATTCCTTTATACGTTCTGCAGGACCTCCTATCCCAGTGCAAAGGCTAAGCAGGGGGTTTAAATAATGATTTTGTCAGGTACGAGTTCTGTGCTGATAATGGAGCGGCTGTAGTAAACATGTTGTCCCTGCCGTTTCACTGAACAAAATGTTATCTCAGGCTTGGACCAATTTGGCCTTGGCTGAAGAGACGTTCTCACACTGGATGGAGTCTAAATAAAAGAACCTATTTGAGCTTAAAATGGGGTTTTCCTTGTTCTTTTTTTATGCAAATATTTTTTTTTTCACATAAACACAGAGGAAAGCTAAACACCAAAGAAATGAGAAAGGAAGATAGCATTTTAATAGTTTAATGTCTGTATCATAAACACTTTTTCTAGTGGTTACTATGCAGTGAATGAGGAAGGATTGTTCTGATTAAACTCTTAAAAAGGTCTGGTGAAGGAAGTATTAAAAATACATTCAAAAACCTTACTTTCTAGTCTTATTTACCTTTATAGTCTTAATATACCCTGGACTATAATTCCAATGTGAAGGAAAATCTGAGCCAACTGTCTTATGTCAATGGTACCAACATTGGTAACACATCTGCAGCATCTTGTTTTCTTCTAGAAACTCTGAGGATATCCCTATAAATTTTGGAAGTTTCAAAATTGTCCACCTTCAGTTTTAACCTTTCCTTTAGAGGAGGAAACAACTGCTGTTGACCAGTGTATGAGAGGATAAAGGGTAGGGATTATTTTTTTTATTTAAAAACTGCATATTGCAGAGTTTGTGAATTTGGTAAGTTTTATCTAGCACTCTGTGCTCATATCTTTTCCAGTTGATTAGAGTTTATAAAAGGAGATGACAGTCTGGCTACACAAAGGAAACATACAAAAATAACAATATTTATCAATTTCACAAAGATATCAATTATATATAAAATTCATGACTTTTTTGTTTCATCAGAAAGTTTCCACTACTCATTGCGAGTCTTAACGCGTAACCCCTATTCAATTCAGTTTACTTATGTTGCACTAGTTAACATCTCCAGGCACTTTACAGTCAATTTAATAAAATCCTATAGATGGGTTCAGTCATTCATCCAAGGGAGACCAAGCAGACTGCAGCAGCTCATTGACTTGCAGAGTTCCCTCTTCCTCAAAGAGTATGCATCTTTTCAAAGAGGATTGGATATTCATTGAGCGAGCAATGAGCGAGTGAAAGTCTAGCTGACATTTAGAACATGTTACATGCATGAATTTCTTCCCGTCACTGTGAAACACATTGCAAGACTTGACATTGCCATTATATGACATACATTTTGCATCTGAAGTGCAGCCGAGAATCACTCAACTAGGTGTATTATCAGACAACAAACACGTGCAATCTGGAGCTGTTTGCGCTATTCTCACATTGCAAGAAGTTATCAACTCCGCACTGTGTCCAGATTTCAATGTGAAACCTAGTAAACTGGGGTTGCCCGCATGGTGAGTTATTCTCTATAAAGCCAAATGACATCAGAGCTAACAACTGCTACAACCAGGCTCCACCACATACTAATTAGAAGTAGCGATGCCTTTCAAAAGAGCAATAAGGTCAGTGCAACCCAAAAATAGTCAAAAGAATTGTGTTCTATTATGAATGCAGGGGGTGGACAGGTGGATTTTTACTGATGTGATGTAAAGAGGAACTCTACAGAGAGGAAAAAAGCTTTAGCATGAGAGAAACAGATTGTGTCTTTCAACCTGTCAATGTGCCTTCTTCTGTCTCTCCAAAATGTGAGCACCGTGTAAGTTTCTATAAGAGTCATAGTCGTGGGTGGAGGAATAGGGAGGGTAAGGTCACAGGGCTGTCTTACCTTCTTGTCCTGCTCTGAGGGTCTATCCATAGACTGAGAGGAAGAGTCACTTAAGCTTTGAGACCTACTACCACGGCCCCTGCTCCTTCGCTAAAAAGCAAAGAGGACTCCAAGTTACTGGATAGAACTCCACTAAAGAGGCTTAATGTTGATCAAAAATAACTGAGATCAAAATTAAAAATAAGGAAAGAAGACAAAAGCATTTGACTGAAATTATGGAGGAAAATGTCAAGATCAGTCAAAAAGAAAATCTTTGGAATAAAAAAAAGGCACTGAACTGGTTCCTGATGGGTGAAAAAAAAATATCGTGGCAGTAGGCGTTCAAATAAAAACGCATTCAATGTTCAGGAAAAAAAGAAAAATCACTAAGTATCAGTAAAACAAACAAAAAAAAAAAAAAATCTTTTTTATTTATAATTTCAAAAAAGGGGGAAATAACTCAAAAAAGATTTTTTTTGCAATTAGAGCTTTGAAAAATTCTAGGACTTTTTGCTTCTGACAAAAAAGCAGAGTTCTTGCTGGAGATATTTAAGAAGTGCTGCACAGAATAAAGACAAACCAACTTTTTGATACAACAAATTAATTACACCAACATCTAGGTTTCTCTGACAGCTAAAAGACTTCAACAATTCTTTGATCCCTTAAAAAACTTATGCAAAGTTATGCAACCTTTGTTGCTTAACTTCGGCTTTGAAGATGCCATAAAAACAACCATTTCCCAGACCTCCGCAACAGACAAGGCTATTAAAGTGGTGCATCCATAGGTGCATCAACCAAACCAAAACGAGTAAAATAATTAGTACAAGGTGACCCTGAAATGTCTGTTTAACACCAAATTCACTGTAACTGAGAGCAAAGCAGACTAATCATAGTTCAAAATTGGTTTTACAGACCACATCCAGTCAAACACCATATGTTACTAACATGGCGTAAATATCTATCAAGTCACATTCCATGAAACCCATTGTGTTGACAATGCTGTCATTAATTCCCCCACGCACATTCCTGTCATCCAGACCGTCCAAACTTAATGACATTATACCCCAGCATCCAGAGCAATTCATATACGCTCGATGTAATCAATGTGCCAGCATGAGGTAACAGTGGAAAATGCTGTCTGTATGGATGCGTTTGTGCACGGTGTCCTGTATTCTATTCAAGCATGGCCCCACAGATCAGAGTGGTGCAGCCACTTCCCCATCAGTGACACAGGAATCCCTGTGCCCCCCCTCAACCAACTGATGCTTAGCAGACATGTGCAACCAGGGTGTTAAGAGAGAGACAAACGCAACAGTTGATCTTTTAAGCACATGTGTGAACGGCAGACAAGTGTTGGATTATGTGGTCCATTTTCTGTTAATAAATGTGTTTAATAACTTATTATTTTTGGATAACATTCAATCTGACAATGAAAAGATGTTCCAACTAGGTTGTGGGACAAAACAAAGATAATATGGAGATTATCTGAAGGGAGAAAATATTTGTGCACTGTCAAGGTTTACACAAGTTAAAGCAATAATTAACAGGGCAGCTTTTACATTTTAAACTTTTTTACAACCTAAAACCCAAGGCAGGTTTTTTTCCATCATATCTAAATTACATGGAATGGTTCTAAAGCTATTAAATAAGTTTGATGCTATGATGGAATACAAATTGGGGGACGTCACCCCAATCTTCAGACAAGAAATTAAGGAATAAATGGTGCGAAATATTTATTTGAAAAGGACAATGGGAGGAACAAGAGTATGGGGGGAAAGATGATTTGAAACCATATCAGACAAAAGGGAAAAAAAGGAGCGTGAATTCAATGAAACAAAGTAAAAGCAGAGGAGAGACAGGAAGCAGAAGAATGGCTGGAGAAGAAAACCAAAATGATGTGGCTGTAGACGGAACAGATTGGTGTTAAAGGAGGCAGAAAACAGAAGTAGAACCTAAAAAAGAGCAGGTGACTGTGGGTCTGATGAGAAACAGGAAGCTCACAAATGTTTTATTGAAACAGTTATTCTATGTAGAAAACTAACAATCTATAACATCCAATGAAACTGAAATCTAATGAAATTTAAATGTAAGGCTGAAACAATTAATGGGCTTAATCGTCATTAACTGATTATTGAAATAATCATCGACTACTTTACTAATCAAATAATCATTAACTGGAGTATAGACACTGTAAAATACGCCTTTAGCCGACAGAGCGACCCACTTAGAGCAGTAATTACACCATGATTGTTAAAAAAATATATAAGCATTTGCATTATGCTCTATCCAGAAGATTTATTTTCACCTGGTTTCATTTCATAAAAAGTCTTCTTTAGGGAACTTTTGGCTATCCTATTATTTATCGATTAATCAGAAAAAGAATCGACGGACAAAATAATCGTTAGTTGCAGCCTAACCATTTTCAAAATGTTGGATAGAAGCTGCACCTTCACCACACACATGCAAGAAAGGCAAAAACAAGCAACATGCAACAAACCAGGTTGCTGCATATTATTTCACAGTGAGCACCGACATGATGCCATAAAATACTATTCACTACAGCTAACGGTTCATCTACCTAAACGTATAACAGATCTGAGTTAAATGTGGTTTATTTACGAGGTTACTCGCAATCAATATCTTACGTTCAGTGGATCATCATCTGACAGACTTCAGTTTGAGTAAAAAGAACAATTTTACTGAATTCATAAGGTACGTATGAGATTGAAATGGAACAAAACCTGAATGGTCCAATCAAAGCCCCCCTCTCTGAAAAACAATAAATAAACGACTACTGATTTACTAATGTGAACATATCGATAGTGGGATGCAATACTTCACTTATTAATCCATCATTGAAATGGCCTTAAACTGATTGAGTAATCAAATAATTGTTAACTGGAATTATAAAAAATCGTTGTTAGATTAATTAGTTACTCAAATAATATTAATGAATGATGCGAAATAAATCCTGATGAATTCAGTTGAAAAATACTCTGAGTGTAAACCTTTCCCGTCATCTTTTTTTTTTAAAGAGAACCACGAGAGGTTGTTTAATTAGCCTCCTTGTTGTTTGGCTAACTAGCCTGGCGTCCGCTGATTAACAGGAATGTTGTTCTAACCTCTTAGCTTGCCGGTTCTGCTTTCAAGAAAGAACTATATTTACACAATTTAGGTAGAGCTCCTTTAGTTTTCACTCAAAGACCTTTAACATCGTCGACTGTCTGGCTTATAAAAAGTAGAAATATAAAGCAGAAAATAGAATTTTCTGCTTTATATTTGTTTATATTTATTTTTTTTCTGCATTTTCAAGAAATACGAAATTAATAAGTTGGTTTCTTTTTTTAAAGGATGATTTTATTTTTTTGTCTCCATTAGCTTAAGCAAAAAAAAAAAAAAAAAAAAAGAAGTCTGTCAGAAGGTAATCTACTGTAGGTAATAGTGCTGTTCTTCACACTCTACTTGGAAAAAAAGAACCATAGGGGAAAATAAACTCAATATTAAAGGTGGAATGTATTTTATATGTCATGTTAAGAAGGGGAAAAATTTCCAAATGCAATGTGATGTGAAAATGTGGGTTAGTAAATAGAAAATACATGCAATAATTATATGAGGGCACTTACCAGTTTGCTGTGATGGTATTTGCAATATCCACAGTATTTGACATTATCTGCATCTGAGCCTTGTTCTTCACACAATAAACCTGCAAACTGGGCACTATTGGGGCAGAGAATAAAAAAAACAAAAAAAAAAAACAATAAATAAATAGATAAAATAATAAATAGTGGTGTAACAAATATATCCCACACTTTCACAACTATATCATGTGGCATATTAGAAAATGTAGGTTTGTAGCTAGCAGAAGAGCTAATGAGTTCTTGAGCTGCTGGACTTGAATTCCCATGATATAACCTTAGACCAACATGTCATAAGAGAAAATGAAAGAGCCCAGGATGCTAGTGTGGAGCAGGAAAAGTGCTGGTGGCTGATTAGTGGGCTGACACCACTCCCATGTGCGTTTTACCATGTGACATGGAAGGCCTGTCTGCAGCCGTGTTTGTTGCAGGTCATGCAGGCTCCGGTGGCTGCCTTACTCTCTCTGCCCTGCTCCTCGCAAATGTAGCATGTCTGCACACAGAGTAAACCAGTTTTATTGTAAAATAAATAAAAACAAAAAAAAAAACACAGAAAAAAAAACATTGATCTACTTTGGATTATTTCCTGTGGTGTTTTAGCAACTGAAACTTTTTTCCCCCTTTACCTTGTTATAGCGTTCATGTGGGACAGACTGTAGAACTATGGGCTCCATAGTAGAGACATTAGCAAACTCCACCTCTGGTATGTAGAGGGCACAAACAACATGGGCCCAGCCTGTAACGATTCACAAAGAATACATAAAAAACTCCTGCCAGCAGAGATTCTGCAAAGGAACAACATTTTTTATTCATTTCATTCATTAACAATTTGGACTTTCAGGTGGGTGGAGCACTGAACAAATTACAGAGAAAAACCACCAACGAAGCAACTGATGCTCTGATCTTTTAACCCATCTTGTTAATAAGTAATCTGACTTTCATATCACTCTAAGTTCAGCAGCTGGTTCACACCGATACAAAAGCAACGCCTAGAGGTGAACAGCTAGTGATGCCTTTACAGAAAACATTACATTACAGAAATTTCCTCAAAGTCTTACCCAACAAAGTCTAAGTTCAGGAGGTCAAACATACCTGTTTATGTCTTTTAGTTATTAGTAATATATATATATATATATATATATATATATATATATATATATATATATATATATATTAGGGTTGAAAAAGTTATTAGGATTAATCGTGGTTAATCGATTATTGAGATAATCGTCAACTAATTTAGTAATCGATTAATCGTTAAATGAAGTAGAGACTCTAAAACATGCCTTTAGCTGACAGAGCTACCTACTTAGAGCAGTTATTCTACCAAAATTGTAATAAAGATATAAAAACATTTGTATTTAAGATAAAAAAATAAAAAACGTTTTTGTCTGTTAATCTGCTCTAGCCAGAACTCCTCAGTTGGAAAGGTTTTAGTATCACCTGGTTTAATGTCTTAAAAAAGTCTTCTTTAAGGAACCTTTTGCTATCCAACTATTAATCGATTTAAAAAAAAATATTCGATAGATTAACTGATTTGCAAAAAAATCCTTAGTTGCAGCCCTAATATATATCATTATTACTTTCGTCAATTTTAAAGTATTTCATTGGCAGCAAAAAAGTCTTTAATGGAAGTCTTGTACATTTTCAAGCACAATTGTATCTATGCAATGAGGACAATATCCACAAGCTGTTTATATTCTACTAATTTTTATATACTTCAGGATTCTCAAACATTTATGTTTGAGAATATGCATCGATATAGAGATAGACCGTCCATTTATTTGTCCTTTTGTACTAAAATTAACTGACACAAAAAGCGGTTTTATAAGTAGACAGAAGCACGTAACAGATGAGCAATCATGACTGAATAGCAAAACTACACCAAAAGTACCAATAAAAAGACATTTATATTCTTACTGTTATCTTGTCCACTATTATAACACTTTCTTTTCTTAGGGCTGGGTGAGAATTTATTCCTTGATATTTTAAAATATTAATGCAACTGATATGTGTATTTGTATCAAATCTAGCTAATCGCAACATTTTCAGAAAAGCCCGTAATAATTAATTTTGTTTTATCTAAAAAGCAGAAAGAACTGTTTTTCTTTTGTTTTCCTTTTACACTTTTGCATTAAAGCTTCAATAAAACAGATCATTGTTTGTATATCCTAAGTTTCGCATGAAAAATGCTAAAAAAAAATCTCATTGCAAAAGACAATATTAGTCATTTTACTTCTTAAAAAGAACTGTAGAAATTTCATGTGCATTCAAAAGATAAATATAAAAGCTTGTTAAGCTTTTTTTCCCCATGTCCTTAAACCCTGAAAAACACACACAGCTGCCCGTCAACAAAGACAAACTGCAGAGCTGTGGAGTGACAGCAGGGCATGGTCAGAGGGGCAACAAAATTGACGACAAGTTGAGGAGGAGTTTGCGGAGGTTACCAGCAGGTCAACCGGAGGTGGGAGTCTCTGCAGCCCAACTGGAGTTGTCTGCCCACCCCCCCATTTACAGCTGAAACAAATACAGGCTTAAACTTACAGTTGAACCCATGACCTGCCTTTGACCTGTTGAGCGGGACAGGGGAGAGAAGGCCAGGGGGCGGGATGATGGGGTGTTAAATCTGGGCATGTTGATGTTTGGATGACCCTCCAAGAATCTAGAGGAGCCCTATAAAACAGGACTATAAAAGTGGCATAATGTTCTTTAGTTTAGGTACTAACAAGCTTTAGTTTGACTTACTGACTAACCTAGAGTTTAGAGTTCCAGACCGTTCAACCCTCTTTTTATTCACTTGTTTTCTCCAAACACATCTACCACAAATGTCCCTATATGTACCCATCTAGATGGTAACAGTGACACCTCAACATAGAAACTGAACGAGTGTGCTAATTTAGCATGCAAATAAATGCAAGTCGATGTAGCCAAATTCCTTTTCCTCTGTCCCACCTGAAAAAACAACTAAACAAATCAGCAAGTTAGGAGGGGGGCCTGACCAGAGCAGGAGGAAACAAGGGGAAGAGGTTAGTGAGAGGGGATAAAGTGAGGAAGGAGAGAAGAGAAAGAGAGAGGGGTCATGAGAAGGGTAAAATAAAAGAGAAAGTAGTAAAACGGTGTGTGTTAGTGTTGTCCTGATGCCTCCCTGCAGGCCTGGACACAATCCCACAGCTGTGCCTCTCTCTGACTGCCTCACACACACACCTACATGCACAGAGAATATTTACAGTCTCTACCATGATGACCTCTCAATGAACCCCATGAGGAGACTCCTCACAGGCCATGCACTATACACTTGCAGGCCCGCCCCCTCATAAACATACACACACACCCCTATAAAAAAAAAAAAGGTACACACACACACACAACAAACAGCTACATGACTCTCTCAGCCTACTAATGCTCCACCAACATACCAGTGATGTGTAAATAATGACAAAATGGGTGCATGTGTGGGTTTCTGGCATTGGATCTACCTCCGTTATCCGTCCTCTTGAGGGCTCCATCTTTGTGGGGACAGAGCTCACATCTCTGTAGGAAAAGAAAAAATGAAAGAGGAAAAACTGGTAAGGGACAACAGGTTAATACAAGAAAAGCTAAATGTTTTTAGAGTCCAGCTGAGCAGGTATCTGCTGTGGGACAGTAACGTTTAAGGGAAACACCCTGATTTTATCTGCCGGTCCCTCTGAGGTCCCTTATCCAGCAGCACAAGTCAGACTTTAGCCTCTCTCGTTCTCAGCTTACTCAAGGACACAATGCTGATCTACATTAAACTAAAAATAAGTAACTTTAACAAACTTTTAGTTTACTTCTTAAACCTCTAAAAAAAAAAAAAACATGTCAACGCTTTGTGTTAATTGGGCTTTTGAAACAGCTGCAGAGAGGGAAATTAAAACTTCACTGAAATTTCTCATGGTTATTCATTCCCAATCCAGACATGCCACAATATAACATATATACTTATGCCTGCTAATTATTCTTTTGCTGACTAATTGACATTTTGGATTTATGTTTCTTCATTTCTGTTTTATAGCCGTTAGGATTAACACAGGGGTGGTTCTTGCAAAAATGGCTCCAAAGGCAAAATCTTCCTCCATCCGCTCCGGTAACAACTCAAAATGCAGGAAATCATCAGTCGCACACAGAGGATGTGAAATAGACTCCCTATTGTCAGCAGCAAACGGGGAATGCTAACTCCTGATAGGCAGAATATGCATAAAGCAACAGAAAGCTGGTTTAAGGTGGAAACGACAGATATGTGGTAGATTTTTTTCTTTTTCAATCTAGCGTTTTGAGTTAGCTCCAAACAGGAACAAAGTTTTTTTATTAAAATTAAAGAGAAATACAAAGCTTAAGTTAGCTAAGACACGTGGTGAACGCTGACTAGCTTATCAGCTCTGACCTCCTATTTAGTTAATGCTGAACAAGATTTAGGGGATGCATCTTTTTACAACAGGGGATTACCAACAACCACTTCACAGAAGCTTGACGGATACAGTTTTTTTTTTTACCCCATTTACACTACCCTTGAAAAACCGATCCGTGCCGAGACCG